ATGTTCATCCGCGTTTTTTCTGGAAGTTGCCGTTGTCTACGATTTACAAACATTGTGTTTACTCACAATCAAAGCGTTTGTCTTATAGTATTAACGTTGAAAACTCAACATACCTTTTTGTTTAAAACAAGGGTTGAAGTATAATTATTCTTATTGTACTTAAGAAAGTCAATAAATAATTACCTTCCGTTGGGCGTTCAATCACAGCAGTGATGTTTAAAACTGGAATTTCATTGGTTGTTATATAACTATGTACTTCAGTCTATGTTGGCTAATTCATAACACGTGAGTGAATTCGAAGCTAGCTTCTATTGACAATTTTTCATTATACCAAGTTTGTATAATTATACCACGCCGTTCCATTCGAAAAGAAAACTGGACTTCTTTTATTAAAATTATGTAATTTTAGATGGAATGAAATATTCATTCAAACACGTTACCTATCAATTATGTTAATTTTCAGAGCATGTGAAATAAATTTGCAGAAAAGATATAAGTACATTAAAGTAGTTTGGCACTGAAATACATAAATACGTAACTAAATTATCAAGCTCCAAATAAACAGCGTAGAGGTCTATACGGAGAAATTTTGCTTGAGCTCAAGGCAAATTTGATTGCTGACTTTGGCATTAGTCTAATATTGAAGAATGGTTCTAAGACATATGAAATTATGTTGTTGTTATTACATTTGTTTTTTAATGTTGGTAACATTGGTACGATCAACCATGGCCAGACCACAACCAGAACGATTTTATAAGATTGGTGATCGCAAGGTGTATTTTGGAAACATTCCATGTCCCTGTTGAAGTGCATGCTGTGTCATTGAATGAATTGAAAACAAACCGAACTCAAGAGCTTCTAAAATTTCAGTGAAAGAAAACCAAATCAATGAACACTTTTAAACTGCAAAACAGTCTGTAAAAAGGTTAGTAGCGGAAAAATCAAAATACCGTTTTAAAACCTTTTTATGTGATAATTTAAAATACTTTTCTGACCATGTTGGATTATACACTCTCTTTCTGGCGAATTTAATTAATATTGCAATAAACTGATTATTTATTTTATATTCTTAATTATACTTTGGAATAAAGATTAATTCATAAGGTGTTTACGTATACATTTATGTTTCCTGTGTTGCGATAAAGAAAAGTACCACGTTTATCAATACAGAAAAACTAACATAACAATTAGTATGCATCATTTGGCAGTAGCATATTACAGCACATTATCGTTAATCATTACACTGAAACCTTTTGCCAGAAATCCCTTGATGATTTTCTTTGATAATTTGCGACCAACCGAGCTAATTGCCACAAATGTAGTGCAACACATCTAGTAAGTCGTTGCCATGACTATGAACAAGTAGTCAAGTGGGCATGCGCAGATGGTTTCTCCATTAAATTATTAAAAACATGCTATTTACTTCAAAATTGGTGCTATTAGATGCAGTTGGTCGTTGTCATGACCATGACCTAAGGAGCTGGTCAAGTCGACTGCGCATGCTCAGATTAATTATTAATTAATTTGTTAAAGAGCTCTAAAATTGGTGCGTGTAGATTGCGTTTTGACAATTGCATATTAGACTCATCAACACTGTGTCCGACATTTGATTGTTCGAATTTTGTAATTTGATCTCGTATTTTTGACACGTGTGTTTACCGTCGGAAAGGTGGATTGGTCTTTATGATCGTATTTGTTCCTACTAGGCTGACAGTAGCTGAGGGTTGACTTCTTTAGTACCAGGCATGGTAATTTAGTTCAGCCGCTACTCGCGCGATTATTCAGTGTATTTTGAAATAACATGAAGTATGAGATATTATGAAATATCTATGAAATATGAATATTATGTTGCTCTAGGACCGCCATATTTACATATGCAGCAAGAACGAACTTGTGTGTATCTATGCCACTGACGGGGATGTGACAGTCTTTTGCCTTGGTCGAGACCTCTGTACTACTTGTCCTACGTAGCTATGCCTAGCCAACGTTTATTGCGAATATGCCTTAGCTTGATAACGTTAGAGTCATAACAGCTTAGATTATAAGATTTTCCTTTTGTTCAGGCAAAAGGATCCAATGTTTCACTTGTCTACTCCATTGCGAAAACACGAAATACACAAAAAGCACCAAAATCTTGAACTTGAAGCAGCACTGCTTGTCAAACAAATTGAGTCGAAGGAAGAAAAAGGAAAACTTTGTTTGGAAAACAACACCGAGGGCGACGTCGATGAGGTGGAAGGGTGGGTTGACAATGGACTTTTGGGAGCAGGATGGTACGGAAAGGGTTGTGCAAAGTTAAAGAAAACGAAAAAGCGAAGAAAATTGAAATGAGATTTGGGGGGGCGTGTCATTGGGGTAAAATATTGTCAAGCTGTATCAGCGATTTTTTAATGCTTGCTTTTAAACTTGTGCATAATTTTGATGTGCCTTTCTTGAAAGGAACGTTTGAATTGTTTGCGTAAATTACATACGTATGACTAGGACAGTTTTTATCATGCATTTAAATGTCATTAATAAAAATTTCGGTTTTTGAACGTCAAGAGATTTTGTCACCGTAGTTTTTTGATATATTACCGCTGACATATATGACAAGAAGTATGAAATATATGATTAGCACCAATTAGAATTAGCAGTTAGCGCCCTTTTTACCAGGAAAATGAATGTCATCATTGTTGGTGGATCTAGAGTACGTGAAAATATTTTACTGCTTTTCATTCGTGGATTTATTTACATGCAAACACCTTATAGAGAACTCTATTGGTAAGATGTTATTCTTTAGAAAATCATGTCTCGTAATTTTCATCTTGAAGTACTTTGAATTTGAAATTAGCGATTAGAATTTCTTTTGACTAACACTGGATCAAACCACTGAACAATAGAAGCGCATTGGACGGAGGACACAGGAGTCGCGATGGTATTTTGAATTTTTTTGACTGATGATAAAGTAATTCAGATACTACACGAGTTGAAAGCTCCTGCATGCCACAAGCTTTTCTTGTGCGTAGCATCGTGATTCGTGAAAGAATTGTTCAGATAAAATATATTTCTATTGCTCTGTTTGGGTGTGCTGTGTTGAGTAGTCACGACATGCGCAGTAGGTTTCAAAGACCAAAAGTCAACTATAAAGAATTCAAAAAATGGCGGCAGAAATTGCAAAATGTACTGCATGAACGTGAACAGATCATAGATGAGAGGAAGACATCAACTGTAAATTCTAGGGTCTAGGTTGTAATGAAAATGTCCAAACGTAAGTGACATTACAAAGTAAAATCCTTTCATTCGTTCTGATGTTTATATTTCGTTACTATGATAATATTATTTCATTTATTTACTTGGGCAAATGCAATAAGCATTATATATGTACATGAACAAAACAGCTGGTAAAATATCATCAATGATGACCTTTAATCATATTTAAACACCCACAGTGTGGCAGAAACCTTATGTGAATCTTTTCAAACACTATAACACTTCAGAATGGAAGTAATGTGCAAAAGAAGGCGATGTTACAGCAATTATGGTAAAATATATGATTAAATTGTCTAATGTTTTAAAAGTGACTAGACTTGAGGTCAAAAATTTCTAGGAAAATATTTTTGGATACAGGCGTCGTTTATGCAAAAACCAGGGGCTGTACATGAGCTGCCTCCTCCAAAAATCATCAATCAAGGGTTGGCCATCTGGCCAGACCCCCCTTCCCCCCATTTTATGCATCATACAAATTACTTTGAACTTAACACTGTTTCATATGGAGAAATAATGAAAATTTTAGTTTAATTTGTAAATTTAAACTTGTCAACTGTCTCACAGAAGCAGTGACAAAGCCAGCCTATTTTCACCCCAATATTGGAAATATTTTTGTCCAATCACCGGAAACATAACAAATGGAATTAATTTTCAAAAGTAATACATAATATAATTCTGCTGAAAATTTGAAATAAAAGTTTCAGCTGAAACTTACTACAGACCAGTACCAAGTCTGTGCATGCCAAGCTCTACATCTGATGAATAGGCTAAATCATTTATTCAATGATCTTTAGGTTCTTGATTTGACCTTACTATCTAATCAAATAATGAAATGAACATTTAAACAAATTATATTCTTAGGACAAACAGCTGAAATGTGTAGTGGCATTGGGCTCAATTCTGCAGAACACATTCAGTTTCTCGAACATCTACACAAATCACTGGGGCTGGTTGGTCGATATCTCTACATCTTGTTTAAAACCAATATCAGGCAAATTTTTTGTCGCACACATTGATGTGGCAACTGAAGATGGTCTTGCCGTATCTCGTTTTCAAACCTTTTTAAAATTCAAGTCCACATCAACATGGTTTAATTTCCATTTACCTCGACCACCCCAATTCTTTGGACGAGGCAATATTGGCGAAACTCTACAAATCATGGTACCTACATATGCTTTTTGAGCCAACATCATTTTTTCTACTTTTTAAAGTGCATATGAAACCAAGTTTCAACACACAATTTTATAATTGCATTGGAAAAGACCATTTAAAATGACTTAATGACTTCTTCATTAGAATTCGTTTATTTTACCTCTTGCTGGGGTATTGAACTAATTTATCGATTAGAAGGCTCTCATGAATGAAGAGTTCATAGAAATCGTTATGATCGTCCAGGTTGGGGTGTGTCCAGTTGCGTTAATGTGAGCAAGAATGCTCGATAACGCAGAGTTGGAAACTTGGTTGCCTGTAGGGGGTATTCCCAAATGCTGAAAATTGACTATTCAATGCAACCGGTCCCAGGTACGCACATATAACACTGTAAAGTAAACAATGAAGAAGTTCACAGGCTATGTTCATGTATAATAAGTTTGCTGACTGATTTCTTTAGAATGCTTTCAAAATAAGTCAGTCAGGGACAATAAATACAGACCCCTAATGAACGTTCTAGCTACGGCGATCAAAGTAAAATTTCACCAAAGTATTTTATGTTTGAAATTTGCTTCCAGGAAGTAAAATGCTTCATCCACGCTTGTCCTTTTTCTCAGAAAATGTTGGTGATGTATCATTATCGACACGTTATACATTCCTAATGCTGGACCTTCGTCACATCATCTCGTTTTTCCTCAATCAGCAATACGCCTATTTGAAAAATATTCGTTTATGCGCGAACATGCTCGTGAAAGGACTGTACACGAGCGACACTGAATACGAACCAGGACTCACAATCAACGAAGCCAGAAGACTGGGGCTAATGACGACTGGCTACGTACCAGTACCACGTGACATGGCATTCCACGTGCCCAAAGGTATGGACTGGCACGAGTTGTATGACGTCATAAAATTTCCCGGGAAAAGCAAACCTATGAAGAAGGGGATCATTCGTAATGATGGAATGGATTTAAAAGTAGTGACCGACGACTACAAGAAACAAGAACAAACGGTAATTCAATAGAATTATGTGAAGCTTATTGTCGGTTTCCCCAAACAACAAGCATTAAGTCAAAGCATCACCATGGAGATTGATGTGATTATTTTCAAATGAGTAGTCATGAGCCCGTTTTTAGTCCTACAATGCAAATATTTTTATGCTCAATCACTGGAAGGCAATGAATGGAATTGATTTTCTAAAAGATGAATAATAATTTTGGTGAGAAATCTGTATTGTAGGAGTAAAAATCGGGTTAACTTGCAACTGAGTGCAAGCTTTGAGATTGTTTGATGTCGTCATTCAGCCACGTGATGTCCTAAGAGTTGCATTTTGACGTGACTTGGTAATGTGTGTGAAATGCGATCATGGGTGTTTTTGTCAGCAACAGGATGCATTGTCTTCAAGGCTTGCATTGGTGGAAAAGCTGGCCTCTAATCAATCTTCTGCAAAGGTATGAGAAATATGTGAAGCAAACTTTTATCAATATTTTAGAAACTTTTATGAAGCCATAAGGCCCGTTCACGATCGATTTGTCGGATCCGATTGTTCGGTTCCGACTTTTGGTTGCTTGTTCAGATGGTCCGATAATTTTGTTGATAATATATTCGTTTGGATAGTTAAAGTTGTGTGTACAGCTTGTGCTATCCAGTACATTTATCGAGATAGTTTTGTTATTTTTGTTTTTAAGACTTTTCTAATCTATGTAATTTTGCTAGTCGGCTTCCTTTGATCTTGTCGGATGAAAATAGAGAAGTTCTATTTCTATCCGATTTTTTAAATTGATTGATCTGACTATCGGAAGCTCACTTTAGCTATAATTTCTCACGATGAGTTTTGGGATCCGAAAAAATTGGATCTTGTTAACAAGTCTATAGAAGTAGCCATGATCCAATGTTTCAACTAATTTTCGCTATGTATCTAATCGTCTTTTCAGCGACGTCAAGTAGTAGCAACGCACGTGCCACCAGTGGGTCTGAACATCCCTGTTGGTCTCCAAGCTCAAGATCACCTTGATACGCAAGTGTACGCTTACAAATCGAGGAAAATATCGATACTTTATCATCAAGTAATCATCAAAGGATAAAGAAAGAGTTAAGGTGTGATATAGAAGATGTGTTTTATTATTAGCTATTGTCAATTTTATTTTTCTTAGAAACTAACGAGAATGTGCTGTATTTGCAGCTCATATATTATTATTAGTGCAAAGTTATGATGGAAACGTTGCGGTTTTGTATCGAGTTACCATAGATATAAAATGATTATCATACTCATAGGAAGATACGTACCAGAATCTACTCAAATTATATTTTTTACAGAGACATTCGACAAGGAAAGAGGGAGAGACTCTTAAGTCGGCGTTCAATAAAGGTGAGATTTTCCATCATTTATTCTACAGTTGCATATCAGGAAGATCTTGGAAAAAGGTTGACATCTGGAAGTATTTTCCATCTGTTAAAATAAGACGCACAGCACAACTGTTAAAGGAAAGAACTTTTACCTTCATCTTAATTAAACATAGGCACCGTTTACACGAGTCCGGGTTGATGTGCCAACCTGGGTCAACCCGTCTACTAATAAATACCCGCCTATTAACGTTCACACGATAGCCGGGTCAATTAACCAACCCGTGGCACCCTTCTCAAGAACTGGGTGGACCCGGGTTAGGTAGGTGTTAGAGCGTCAAGTTTAGCTCATTTCTTCATGAAAACCCGGGTTGGCTTGTCTTTGGCTTTATGTTCGAGCTAACCCTGGCTGAGAATTGCTGAATCGGGTTTAAAATCATTTCTAATCATGGTTTGTGTAAGCATAACCACCTATTGCAGTCTGACCCGGTTAAATATCAACCCAGACTTAGTGGCTAAGGCAGCCTCATTATTTAGTTCATTTATATAATTTTTCTAAGGAAATGAATAATGATAGTGTTATGAAATAGTCCAGGCTTACCAAAGGACTGAAACTTGCGGTTTAGCTGCGTCTCAGTAAACTCACTATTGCAACGTAGTTTATTTTCATCTTTATATTCTTGGGATTTACGACTTGTTGACATTTTTAGAGTTTGAAACCAGATCCGATTTTGAAATTGAAACATATTGTTGGCTACGGTGGACGAATTTCAAGGAATTATTTTGGACAAAGAATGGCGCATGCGTCGTGTATCCATGTCATGCCGTGATTGTTTCCATGGAGATATCTACGGGGCATCAACGATTCTTCATTGGTCACACCGACAAGGTCAATTTTGCTTCTTATTATTGGGCAATCATGGATGTACTTGGGATCTGCTATTATGTTCGCAATCTGTTCGCTTAAATGAAGTAGTTTAATGTAAAACAACGTATTTGGAGATTTTTGTTTTATTATTAACTGAAATCATTTGCTAAAAAGCTAGTAAAATCTCACTGTGCTCAATATAATGTACTCAGTATGTTCGAGGTAGAATGTCAGCGAGTAGTTAGTTCCACTTATCAAGGAGAATCATCCACTCGTTAAACTTCAATGAGCTCTTAGAATGCAGGCGTAAAGATCTGTTAATCCTTAATCTTATCGTACTTGACATTGGATTGGGAATCTGTTTTGGGTGTTTTGAATACGGAATTACTGCAATCTCTTGTATTCACGTGGATTCCTTCTCATTAGCGCTCATTTTATTGCAGGTTTCTGCCCTTACCTTCAACGGAAACTCTTCGATACTAGCTTCAGGGCAACTTGGACAGTCAACTGTGATTCGTGTGTGATATCAATCCGGTGATTGTATTGCGATCTTTAACTCTCAAGTGAGAGAACTTTATTGTTTAAGGTGAGAAATGCAATTTGATTTGTTTCCAAGTAATTTTTTTGTCTTGTGGATTCAAACTTAAAAGTCTCCTAGGTTTTCATATGCCTGTGCAAACACACTGAACATCTTTTCTTAAATGGGAGTTCAGCTGAATAAGTTAACTCGTCATTCAAAGCTGAAAATTCAGATTCTTCAGATTTTTACTTTATTTTTAGAACTGCTTGTCTTTAGAGCCGCATGTTTAATGAATCTGTTTTCAAAGCTGGTTTACTGTTCTAAAGAGGTGAAGAAGTAGCTGCTCACAATCTATGCATTATCTCACTGGGTTGAAACACCATGGCAAAATCTCCATTTTTGGGTGTTTGCCTAGAGCCCTCTATTGTAATACACATAGAGCGCTCTGGTTTGCCCTTATCTCCATTTTCGTAAATCTACTGTACTCAATTTTACTGGAACATTACCTCTCATCTAAATTTTTAAATGCAACAATTCAACTAGTATCAATCTTATTAGGTAAAGAAAGTTCATTACGACCGTTAGCTAAATTAGGAGACATGCAGACATATTTCAGACATGCTTGTTTGAGTAAAATATTGCTTCACTAAAGTATACCTAATGTTTACCTAAAACTGTCTTAGCTTAATGTTCACTTGGACCCAGTTTTTCTGTTCACAATTTCCGCCATTTTATTTCAACAGTTTCTCAAATAGTGGTGGAGTTTGTGCGGTTGTGGAAAAGACAATCACGGTAAACAGGTAAAGTCAAAATGTAGGTCTTTCTTTTGAAAATTCTATTGAAAAATTGAAAATATTAATATAATGATTTTGCTTAGCTAACAGTCTAGATGCTCTGTAGAAGAAGAATGGATAGAAAAACATGATATTTAACCAAGAATGTTTTTATTTGTAATTTGTTCTTACAATTTAAAATTTGATTACGAGCTCGAGATTTCTATGATGTGAAAGTTGATGAAGGCAAAGCCCAATTCAGCTATCAAATAGAAATCGAGAATAATCTAATTGGTTCAGTAGAGTATACCAGTATTCATATAAAGAAACTGCAGCTGTAGTTTTCCTTTATTTTTATGCATTTGTTGTTGTTGACATTGTTTGAATTAAAAAGCAACTCTTGTTGTTCAATGCATGTTTAGTTGTTGTAATGGGAATTTTTGTTTATTTAAATATGTTAATGTTGTGTTTAGTGGAAACTCTAGAATTGTTCTCTGATATAAACAACGAAGTTTATCACCTGAAACCTTAGGAAAGATATGGTCGGCAGCCATGTTTGTTTTTGTTACCCGACTTGAGCAACTAGCATTTTAAAAAAATAGATGATGGCGAGTAGAATAGCAATCGAATCAAAGCATACACACTAGAATGCTTTTATGTTTCTACTAACTGTGGATACAATGTGTATAGATGGTGGTAGTTTGGGATACATCACGTTGTGGAAGGACTGGAGAAATTGCTGGTTGCCAAGGCACATACTGACGTTGACATTACGCGAATCAAAATTGTTCCTTTCGATGACACAAGGTGAATGTATTGCTATGAATTTGCATTTTTATGTTGTTTACCTACTGACAAACGTTTGCAACCACCATTTTGCTTATTTAAGAAACAATACTATTAATATATTATTTTAGTTAACACTTGACATTTTTGCGTATAAAATACGCTACACATCAAAGCGGAAACGCCGTTTTCTTCAGTGGATTGCTGTCTGCTTGGATTAAAAGTGTTACGGGCATTTTTGACTGAGTTCGTTGAAATGTTTCTTGCCGCACTGTTATTATTATATTTGAAATTTATAAAAGAACTGAAGAGTGTATGTCTGAGTCTAAACTTTTCTTGATTTTGTTGGGGTTTTTTTTTGGGAGGGGGATGTTTTTGAAAGAAGATTGGTTCTTTCCAGTTCATAAGCTTTCTTACTATTGCAAATTGATGTGAATTTTGAAGGATGATATCGTGTGGACTTGATAATATACGAATCTGGAGGGTTCGTCACGGCTCCGTACGTTCATCTGCTTTGGATCTTGGTAGTCATCATTCAATTCAGTTTACCGATATTGCTTTTGGCTACGAACTTGTAAATGGAAACAACAAGAAATATCGAATGATGTAAGACTTTGTATTGTTGGCGTTGAAAGATTGTTGCACGGGGGTGGGTACAAAGGCTGTCGGTTGATTTTGAACGGCTAATACTAGATTATTCAGTTTCTATTTTTGAAATGGCGAAACATGAACGTTCAGTTTAAGTTAACTAAAATTTTGCTTTCCCAACAACCATAAAAGGTACTTTTCTTTTCCAAAGTCCACGCTCAGTGACCACAACTTTTACTCTGAACATTTGATTTTGTAATACAACGCGATAGTAACTCAATTTACTCAATGTATTGTATGTTGTCAAATGGAGAACTGACTCCTGTTTAATATATAGATCAGTGTCACGTTATTCTCTCTTGAGAAATTAGCTAACGAGAAAATAATTTTGCTTGTTATTCAATTTGTTTATCAGGAAATCGGTGCAATTTTCGACAATGTCTTCATTGAAATTCAGCCCATTTCCAAACGCTTTTATCGTTCAAATAATTTAGCGTTTTCCCTTCATTCACAAGTGAACACTATGTTATAAACATCAACATGATTGAGAAGATAACTTCAAAGCTGATTTTTCAAATGTTGTTTCTTAATTTTCAGATATGTTTCTTCGAACCGTGGAATAATTTTTGAAGTCAACTACGAACTGATGGTGATTCATAAGGTGCGACGACTACTTCCGACCGGAAGCCGAGAGGATCTTGTTCACGTGAACCCGGGTGAATTCGGAATTGGTATCAACTGCATCTCTGTCACAGATGCTTTCTGTATGACAGGCTCTGACGATGGCTATCTCAGGCTGTGGCCCTTGGATTTCTCGGGTGTAATATTAGAGGCAGGTATGTGTGTCTGTTACTTTGTCAAAGGTTGGGATATCTTGATATTGAGCAAAACAGCACCAGTATGAACAACACAACCTACTCTTTTGAAGTAAACACCTTGAACCCCTTTCCAATTTTGAATATTTAAGTATTGACGTAAGCTCAAAATAAATGTGCGCATGCGTAATGCCATACATTGTAGTTAAGTAATTTCTAAGTGATAAAAATGCTTATATATAAGCGTTCGACACCGCATAAAAAGTTTTGTCGTTTATAAAGCATATTTCGACTCATAAGTCGCTTTATGCCAACTAGTCTATATTTAATTTGGCTGTACGAACTGTTGACGATAAAACGGTGTATATCGCTAAAGCATTTTCACTACTACTTCTTCATTACTGCATTTGTCGTTGTTCTGCTACTTCATATTACTGCATTTGTTGACGGTGTGTTACTACTGCTACTTCATGTTACTGCATTTGTTGACGTTGTGTTACTGCTGCTACTTCATGTTACTGCATTTGTTGACGGCGTGTTATACTGCTTCATATTACTACTTCATATTACTGCTACTTCATATTCTGCATTTGTTGACGGTGTGTTACTACTGCTACTTCATTTTACTGCATTTGTTGACGGTGTGTTACTACTACTACTAATGTTACTGCATTTGTTGATTTGTTCCTTTCTTTACAGAACACGATGGTGCTGTCTCGTCTATCGACATCAATCCGAATTGTTTATCTGTTCTTGCCGGTACAGTAACGGTACGTATGTTGTCAATATTCTCATTTGTAAGGTTTTACTATTCCAAGTCCCGTTATCAATTCTTGACTGATGATGAAAAACTATGGTGGCAAGAACATTAGTTATAAAGCAAGAAGTAGTTTATTGTATTTATACTATATATACGTATTTTCTGATAATTCAAATTCTCATTGTGCAATGTGACGTCACTTTCTTTATAAATCGTACAATCATAGACTTCAATATGTCTTGAATGAAAAGTGATGTGAATAAACTGTTTTAGAAAGTCCACTGTCAGTTTGAGAGTTATCTTCAATGAAAACTTAATTTAACTGAACAAAATTTTAGTTCTACTCATTCAACTAAAATACATGGAACGCTGCCTGAAGCAAATAATTGAAGCCATATCTTACACCCAGACACGCGAGTTACACCCAGACACGCGTGATGTTTGAATTCTCGGGAGTGGAAATTGATTGATTACCACGCGTGTCTAGGTAAAATCTCGCGTGTCTGGGTGTAAAATTTGGCTTTAAAAATAACAGGCTTTTCTATATGTAGCTTTCCATGTATTTTAGTTCAATGTTCTACTATCATTTAGTAGTGAGCCATAAATTATTTTGACTGTGTATGACATTTTGTGTTTTCAATCCTCCTTTAGGGTAGCATTGGAATTTGACATCTCCACACGTTCTTACAAAACACTGATGAGATCACATACCAAACAAATACTCGATTGCTCCTTTGATCCATCACGTGGTTCTCGTGACCGTGTCCGATGATGAAACTATTCGTGTATGGGACCTGGACACGTTTAATCAATTGTATGATTTTAGAGCAGCCAATGAGAATCCTTGTACTGTGACGTTTCATCCTCATCAATCACTCTTTGTCTGTGGCTTTCGGAATGGGGCAGTTCGCGTTTTTGATATAGGTATACTCGAAGGGATGTATTGGTACATATAGGGATAATTCATCTAATGGTTATTTGATACAGGTATACTCAGAAGGGATATATAGGTATACTTGGAGGTATATATTGGTACATATTAGGATAGTTCATCTAAGGGTTGTTTCATATAGACATACTCAAAGAGATGTAATGGTATGTATTATGGGTGGTTCAACTGGGTTATATGATGTAGGTATACTCAAGGGATGTGGTACATGTTAGGGATAGTTCATCTAAGGTTATTTTATATGCCAATGACACGAATTTTTATTGTCTTAAATAAAAGATCTCTAAAATTTTAATGGATTCTCTTGTGTACCTTTACAAGCTTACTTCTGAAATTATTAAAGTTTTTGTGACATGTAAATTCGAAAATTCATATTCGTTTGTTCACTACAAACCTGCTTGTGTTTGTCAAAACTATTTTATTGTTTTAAAATTCAAATACCATGTTTACTTTTGTATACATCCATAAGTAAACATGCAAAAATGATGTTAAACAGAAAATCCATTAAAGTTTTAGAAATCTTTTTTGGACAATAAGAAATTTTGTCAGCTTTAATCAATAAAATGTAGATGTCTGCATAATCTAATGAAACCACATCTTTGTTTTAGCAAGTTCTTCAATGCTAGCAGAGCATAAGGAACACAAAGGGATGATTACAGGACTGGCTTTTCACCGAATGGTGAACACATGTACAGTGCTGGATCGCAAGGAATTTTAGTGCTATACCAAGGTTCCACAGAGGAGTTCAATGTACAAAGAATTCTTATCAATACAGTGGCACCTGGGAGCATTTCGCTCCCGATGTGTTGTCCAGTCAGTGATGATGGTCAGCTGCTTTATTGGTCCATTCGAATACGTGATTACTGTAATGGACTGCCGCACTTTGGACGAGGTTAGCAAAGAATAGGTAGCTACTTCATTTACATTTACTGGACTATGTACTTATATTATACTCGTGTCACGGCATTCACGTTTATTGTAGGTGACGTTCTTATCTAATCTTAAACTGTCTTTAGGTGAAGGTTATTTAATCTTCAACATGTTAATTGTTATTGAATGTCAAACATTCTTTAAGTATTGATTATCATTGGAGATTTTTTAATCTTCAATATGTTTAAGGGCTTAGACCGAGATTTTCTAATGTTGCACAGTCTTCAAATGGTGATTATATCATTTTCCCATGTCAAGCTGAGGTTGTTGACGTTGAACAGTCTTTAAGTAGAGTTTTTATGATTTTCAACACGTGTTAGCTGAGATTATATGGTGTTAAACAGTTTTTAAGTAGGGATTATGTAATCTCCAACATATTTAAGCTGAGGTTATGTTATGTTCATTTAATTTCTGAGGTTATGTTATGTTAAACAGTCTATAGGTACAGATTATCTATAAGTCTTGAACATGCTAAAGCTGAGATTAATTGATCTTAAACAATGTTTATCTTATCTAGGTTCTACGTATAGATATAACAACAATACATGCAGGAAATGTTTTCACTACTGACGATACTGCCCTCAGATTGTGCTACTCTCCTATGGCGTTAAATCAACTTTTGGTGGTTACTGCTGGTTGTAGGCTGTTGAAATTGATGCACATGGTGAGTTATTGAGCGAGGTAGATAATAATGGAGGGAGATGGGGGAGATGATTTTACGATACCTAGAAAGAGTCTGTTGATAGTTACTGATGGATGTAGGCTGTTGAAACTTGATGCACATAGTGGGCAGTTATTGAGCGAGGTAGATAATAATGACTAAGAGGGAGAGTTTACATTTAAAGAATTTGTTTGCAGTTACTGCTTGATGTAGGTTGTTAAACTTTTACTTATTGGACAGTTATTGAGCAAGTAGATAATTAAGATTGAGAGAGACAGGGGGTTGACGCGACATGGAGAGTTTGTTATGATGATACACGACAGGAATTATATGAAGTTTATGTAGAAGTATGTTTTATTGCTTAGGTTTCCAACGTTCATCGATCTAGCTGTTCAAGTCTTGATCCTTTCCAAACTGGGCATTTTCTTGCAACTGCTGGTGATAAACTTATCAAGATATGGGACTATCACATGAAAATGGACTTGAATTTCCAGGTACGATAACCTTCATAATGAGAACATTTACTAAGTTCCAACTTCTTCAATCTAACAACGCACGTTGTTTTTATATTTTATTTACTTATGTCGAAATTACCACGAATACTTTTCATCACTGACTTTACTATCAATGATACATATATAATGCTAGTGTGTGTTATTTAGAAATACTCTATTTCTTACGAAAAACTGTCTTATCAATAAATTATTCTGTATAGTTATGCATGCAGAAGCCTTATCTGAAGTTCCTAAAGTATACAAAACCTTTCATATCTTACATTACATTTACATTTAGGAAGAGTTGAGATCTAAAAATTATATTTACTTATCCTTTATTAAATAAGAAAGGAAATATGTTTACAGGCTAGCGCAACACAACTCTACACCAATCAGCGCACGCAGTTGTATTGTTTATTTAATGATACATCTTAACCGTTTCTATACAGGTATTTATTGGCCATTCAAATAATGTCTCCAAAGTTCGTTTTAGACCTCCAAGCTTTAGTCAGTATTGGAGAGGCATTTATCTGGGATTTTCTTGCAGATGGCCGCGTTCCTTTGGAGCCTGGGTACGTAAACACACTTTTTATATTATTTGTTTTATTTACTGACATTCGCAAACAGAGATTTTGATATTTATGCACTACCAAAATGCTGGTATAAACATTTTTGTAGGATGCATTTTGACACATGTATTCAGTAGGTGTCTTTGGCATAGATCATTGAAGTCATAGATCACATAGATCATTGAAGTCATAGATCACATAGATCAATTAAGTCGTCACATAGATCATTAAGTTATAGATCATAGATGTTGAAGTCATAGATCACATAGATCATTGAAATCGTGATCACATAGATCATTGAAGTCATAGATCACTTGATCATTTGATCATAGATCACAAAGATCATTGAAGTCATAGATCATAGATCATTGAAGTCTAGATCCATAGATCATTGAAGTCATAGATCGCATAGATCATTGAAGTCATAGATCACATAGATCATTGAAGTCATAGATCACGTAGATCATTGAAGTCATAGATCACAAAGATCATTGAAGTCATAGATCACATAGATCATTGAAGTCATAGATCCGTGGTCATTGAGTCATAGATCACATAAATCATTGAAGTCATAGATCACATAGTCATTTAGAATGGTCTGTAAATCATTGAAGTCATGATCAGATATTGAAGTATAGATACATAGATCATTGAAGTCATAGATCGCATAGTCATTGAAGTCATAGATCCATAGATCATTGAAGTCATAGATCACAAGATCATTGAAGTCATGGATCGTAGATCATTGAAGTCATAGATCACATAAATCATTGAAGTCATAGATCACATAGATCATTGAGTCATAGATCACAAGATCATTGAAGTCATAGATCACATAGATCATTGGGGTAGATCATAGATCATTGAAGTCATAGATCGCATAGATCATTGAAGTCATAGATCACATAGATCATTGAAGTCATAGTCACGTAGATCATTGAAGTCATAGATCACAAGATCATTGAAGTCATAGATGGAATCATTGAAGTCATAGATCCGTAGATCATTGAAGTCATAGATCACATAATCATTGAAGCATAAGTCACATAGATCATTGAAATCATAGATCCGTAGATCATTGAAGTCATAGATCACATAAATCATTAGTCATAGATCACATAGATCATGAAGTCATAGATCACATAGTCATTGAAGTCATAGATCACATAGATCATTGAAGTCATAGATCACATGTCATTGAAATTAGATCACAAGATCATTGAAGTCATACATCACATAGATCATTGAAGTCATAGATCACATAGATCATTGAAGTCATAGATCACATAAATCATTGAAGTCATAGATCACATAGATCATTGAAGTCTTCGATCACATAGATCATTGAAGTCATAGATTACATAGATCATTGAAGTCATAGATCACATGATCATTGAAGTCATAGTCATAGATCAGTGCTAGATCATAAATCATTGAAGTCTTAGATCCTAGATCATTACAAGTCATAGTCACATAGATCATTGAAGTCATAGATCACATAGATCATTGAGTTATAAATCACATAGATCATTGAAGTCTTCGATCATGTCAGAGTCTTAGATCACATAGATCATTGAAGTCATAGATCACATAGATCATTGAAATCATAGATCACATAGTCATTGAAGTCTTAGATCTCATAGATCATTGAAGTCATAGATCACATAGATCATTGAAGACATAGATCATTGAAGTCATAGATGACATAGATCATTGAGTCATAGTCACATATGATCGAAGTCATAGATCACATAGATCATTGAAGTCATAGATCACATAAATCATTGAAGTCATAGATCACATAGATCATTGAAGTCTTAGATCACATAGATCTTTGAAGTCATAGATCACATAGATCATTGAAGTCATAGATCACATAGATCATTGAAGTCATAGATCACATAGATCATTGAAGTCATAGATCACTTTCATTGAGTTTTATAATAACTGGAGCGGCTATCTCAAGCGCGGCCTTAGATATCTGATGACGCCAAAGATGGCGGATTTCGTCCGTTGCTGCAAGATTTACCGTAATTGACCGCTTTTCCGAAAATTTCACAATTTCCCCTCCCTCCTGAGTAAAGAGTGGGGAAAATGTATGTGTGTATTTGGATTTGGCAAGCAATTTTGGATGAAAATCAAGGTAAAACCTTAAATTCATAACAAGTAACTGTGGTTGTCAGTTATCTGCTCCAAGGGATGTTTTATATATCGAAGAAAGAGCTATATGTCGGCCATATGAATAGATGTGCGTCGTTTTCTTACCAGCGTCAAACTTGTTTGATCGATTAAACTCTTTAGTCTATACAAAAAAGTATATTATAGCTCATCTCCACGGTTCACGAGAGAGAAGTTAGCTTATTTGTTATCATTACTATTTTGCTTCTTTTCATGCAATGGGGAATGGCTTTTTTCGCCACAATTGTAGGGTTTTTACTTGTTTCTTTAAAAAAGTAAATATTAAATCTTTGGATATTTACGGATTTTCTGTAATTGAGTTTCTTATTAAATTTCAAAAGGACTCAGGTCTGCATAGGTTTAGTAAATGAAAACAAACAAGATTGTATAGAAATTACTTTAAGTAACCTTTTTGTAATGTTCTGAAGTGCAACTGCATCAAATACTTGTTGTAGCACATTTAGATTTTGTTGTATTGATATATGAATTGGGCAAAATGCAAATAATCATCAAAACACTTATGCTTCCAATGGTGTTTATAATTCATTTGTAGTTTTAATACTTCTACCCTTCTTTTTCACTTTGTTTTGTTTTTCCTATATTTGCAAATAAGTGCACAATTTGAATGATTAACACAGTTTTACCTCAATAATAAATTTCATAAGCAGTTGGTAGTGCATTTTGTTCTCTGAGTATCCATACATCTGGTGTTTGTTCATACAAGAATGATGAAGTACAAGTAGATATGTCATAGCAAGGCAATATAACCAAATGAATTAAATACCTATAGTGTACTTTTATGCTAGAAGCTTAAAAGCTTTTTAGAAATTATAAAGTTATTGGATTATATTACCTATATATTATCAATCTCATGAAAAGAAATAAGCAAAAAATTTGTAGAAAAGCTTTGGAAAGTGATAAACTTTTCTTTAAAAAAGCAGCAATAATGCATATGATAAATCTCCATTTTGTACTCTAATAGGTAAATAAGCTCAAACTGTTTTTCTTAAGCAAAACTGTAATAATGAAGAAATATACAGTACAGTAACTTTAAAGGTTTCATGGAATCTTTATGTTTCAGTATAGTTCATTAGATATTAGTAACATTTAAACAACACTCAACTAAAATATTTTGATAAAGATATGACATGATTTAAACATTAAGTTATATAAAACCCAAACTATACAGTTTGATGCTTCACATCTGCATCAAGTCATCATCAATCTCAGTACAAATGTTTACATAGACACAAACTTTATGGCCTTCCATTTTACATGTTTGTGAATTGACATTCATTAAGCATCAAGACACACAACCTTGCCATCTTTCTTTGGTTCATGAACTTTAACTTCAAAGCATTCAAGGCATCCTTAGTGAATCCATTGTCTCCATCCATAGAATTTGACCATGATCAAATTAAATAACTCTGGATAGGGCAGACACAAATCAATTATCACATTATCATTTTTAAGACTCTGCCTGGTCAATAACATCTTCTACATCTTTCCTTGATCTTCCCTGCATGTAGAACATAACAAGCTCTGCTCCAAATCATGGGTACTGTTGGGGCTGATCATTTTTGATCTTACTCACAGAGCAAAATGTGTGCAGGGTCTTTTTGCTTTAGGGAAACTATTTTGCAAATAGATTGGTAAATTTACGATTTGCATTAACAAATGACAGAAAAGTATGCAAAATTTTATAAACAAAACAGGAAAACATCAGTATATTTGGCGTTCAAATCAGTCTTAAAAATACGATCTTTAATATATTTTATGGCTTTTCAAGTGCATGTATAACTGCTTTTCAATCGTTGACGGACTAACAAAACAAAGCAACTATCTCTCCCTGTAGAAGCGATATGTTCCTTTTGTGGAAACTCGACATCCAACAATTGAACGATCGAAGTGTTGGCATTATAAAGAACCAAAAGATAGTCACGAATCATGAACTACGATATCCATATTCTGTGATATCGTGTTGTTTTTTGAAAAATTCTTTATAATTTACTATAGACACCAGGGGAGGTCGAGAATATTATTTTCTGCAAAGCGATCATTTCAGCGGAAATACGTCCTGGCCGCCATTTTGGCGTCAGGTCCCAGTAAAGTTAGCCGCTCAGTTATTATAGAACTCAATGATCACTTTACTTTGAAGATGGCTACCGCTAAGGAATTCAAAACGTCAGTCAACATCAACAACAATAGTCCTTCTCAGGACTTTACTAATCTGGACGATCAACATCCACAAACATGACATGAATTAAGAAGCCCTAAAATTTGTATGACCAGTTATTTGGCTTTCGGTAATCTCGGAAGTTCATCCTATCACCACTCATCTCCAGATTGTAAAACGTTCATTACGACCATATTACGACCACTCATCTCGAAAAAGACTGGATCAAGCAACTGTATATTTCGCCATTACTAAGGGACCGACACATCGAAAGATTTTTAACAAAACTGGAAAACATAGCAACGGCCAAATATGCTTTAAGATAATGCTGAAGATGAAAAAACCTTTAGTGGCGATAGTAAAGCGAGTCAGAAAGAATAATCGCCGTATAAAACAAACATATGGTTTCCTTCGAATCACTCGTAAAAGGCTTAATTTCAAGGATTGATCAGTTTTTGATCGTAAATGAGATTATTTAATCAGTTTGTACTTCTGAACTACGATTCCAACAATTTTAGGTATTTATGCAGTTGTGGGCTATTTTCCATAGTTTTCCATGCCACAGTAGAGTTACCGATGATAAAAATCGCTGCATTTTGATCATATTTCATCGTATTTTAGCTCTTAAACTGATTTCTCTTAGTTATGTTCATGTTGTTACATGTTGAAAATTCTTCATTATTCTTGTATAAATCCACAATATATTTGTTTCTTATTTTTGAAAGTTGGTCCCTAGTAATGGCGGCGCTCCTTATTTTTGTCTTCAACTTTTGTGCTTGATGCTTGATCCAGTCTTATTTCGAGATCAGTGATTACGACTTGCTATTTTTCTTCATTTTCCGCCATTTTCTTAGTGGAAGAGAAGAAGCGATTGATTACAACAAAGATGAACCGGGTGTGTTTTATGCTTTCATATATATAAAATAATATGTTAAATATTTTCATAAACTTTCGCAATCTTACATCTAACTGTAACCAACAGTCTTTATGTCACGAGCTCGTGATTCCACATAATGCCTTAAGTTTACTGCGTCTTGTAGAACTTTCTATAACGATTTTAAGGTTGCCTGTGAAATTCTCTTTCCAGCTCAGCTTACTACTTCCATGCACTATTCCATGGCGTTCTTGCTGAAAAATTTTCCTCTATTTTCACTATTCATCCAGCGGATCCTTAAGGATATCAAGTTGCAACATTTTGAATAAATCTTGCGTTTTCAATTCAGATAAAACTGCATATGTTTTTGATGGAGCTGGCTCACCAACACAAGATGACATTGGAGAATCTGATCTCAAACCCAGACCTCCAATTATGGCGACCGAATTACCTCTGCAGCCTCTCCCCAGTTCTCCCGGCAAACAGAACGAGATTGTAGTAAACTCTCCGTCTAAGAAAGATATGAAAGTCATCGACAGTTTCAATCCTATTGTGACCAGAAATTTAAAAGTTCCGAACAACACTCCAGAGATATCGAAGTCGGTGGGTCTCGTTTAAAGATGATGTAATCTTTTTATTTCGTTGAACATATTTTGCTCAGTCTATCCGGGAAGTGATCTCTCGGAATGAATATATGTGTTCGATAAACTGTTTTTATAAGTCCCTTGTACTTTAGGAATTGGATATTTGTTTTGAAGGTCGCGACGTTTCGTTTTCACACATTCGAAAAGGATTATATCCAAACGATTTATACGTGTCATCATGTTTTATAAAAAATATGATGTGTAACTATTGATATGCCTGGCGAAAAATGAATTTTCAACGTAACTATAATTTCCCAACAAATAACTTTTTATCTAGCCATCGATGAAATATCTGTTGATCATAGCATTTCATCTTTAACTTGAGACATCAGGCTAGTTAGGAATTATATAGAAAGTTTAAAAACATAAACATTAATTGTAAGACATTTACAGTGTGTTAGATTACAAAATGTGATGATAACAATGTAGTGGAATTTGTGCGTTAGGTGATAAAGTGGGATCGAGTGGAATTAGATTTAGTGGGGTTGAACTGCCCTGGATGTTAAGATTGGGGTTAAGGTTAGAGATGAGAAGACTTTCGTGGATGGACTGTTCATATTTGTCAGAAAAGGATGACAAAATTTTGAAGGCGTCAAACAGTATGAAATAGATAGTTACATGGTTTGCAGATGTAGATCGTCCAGGTTTGTTGAGTCTGAGAAGGACTATTGACGTGTAGTAATGATTGACGTTTCGTCAACCTTAGCGGTAGTCATCTTCAGAGACAAGATTGTCGAAACATCAGTCAACATCAACAACAACAACAACAACAACAGCAGTCCTTCTCAAGACTTTGCCAACCTGAATGATCCTACATCTACAAACTTGTAGCTACCTCCAGGCTCGAAATAGATAATATTGGTGAGAATATATAGAAAGACATAATAAAGTGAAATGTTTGAACACGGTAGTATTGTGAGTAGTACTCTTTAACGAATCGATCGATTTCATCTTTTAGTTCTGGTATCCTGTCTGTCCCTCTAAATAACATTTTGAAAATTTTCAGATCAAGACCCAGACCCGATCCGCAATTCGCTTCCCTCAGATACAGGTCACCCATTCCTGGTGTGCTAAAACATTACAAGAAACGTAAGAGTTCCACTGCGTTGCCTGAAAGAAAATACACGGCACCCAGAAGTCAGGCTGGACTGGCTGTTCTTGATTACAACGGAGATGGCCGGAACAATATGTGTTGGCATCCTGAAACAGGTTAGCGGGCTCAATCTGCTTTCTGATTTGTTACTTTAGATAGTAAGAAACATCACCGGTCCTCTTCATATTCCTTTAAACTTTGACGGGAAAAGATTTTTTCTGTATAGAATGAAATACTCAGGATCTCTTATGTATTTTTTACTTAGTAAAAAGTGGAAGTACGATGCACTTTGTTGAAATACGGATTCAAACAATGGCTTTGCTTAGTAGAAGAGGGGTTGGTTTCACGTCTTCCCCTTTGTTTAAATTTTGAACGGACTGGCTTTAAAATGCGAAATCCTCATTTCATAAAAAATGGGCAGTTTCCACTAATGAGCAGCTCCCCGCTTCCTAAATTGAAATTTGAAAGGATTGGCTTTCGAACGCAAAATCCTGCGAATACATTGTTTCAATCAGTGGTCGATCAGGAATACAGAAAATGCGTATATGAATAGGTGCTCCCCAACTATCGAGTTTGATACCTTCTATATTAAACAACCAGAGTCATTATATATTGAGATCAGTTACAATTGCCCCTATTCAGGTTTGTTCGTTTACACCAGTGGCTGCATCGTTATCATCGAAGATCTTCATGATGGCAAACAAAAACATCTCATGCAACATTTTGAAGAGATTTCCACAATAGCTCTTCAACACGATGTTCAGGTTCTTGCCTCGGCATCCGGCTCTTCAAAGACGGTGGCGTCATGCATTTGTATCTGGGATATTGCATCTGGTGATTTATGCTAAAAGGTAGAGAGCAGTGGTGTAGCCAGCTCGCAAGCTTGTTCATGCTATGTAATTATTTAGGTGTAGAGGCAGTGGCGTAGCCAGCCCGCAAGCTTGTAATTATTTAGGTGTTCACTCGCTGTAAAATAATGCCAATGATCTGAAATTATTTCAATTCTCTGTCTTGCTAATGGGTAGATGGATATTTCAACGTTTTATGGTGTCTATGACACAAATTTTTACTGCCGTAGATAAAAGATCTTGTAAATCTGTAATTTGAATTTTCTTGATTTATCGAAAACTTTTATGATATGTTAATCTGAGCATGAATATTGTTGCCAGCGAGTGTGCCAGGCGGGTCCTATTCTCAAGATAAAGATCAGAGCTCAACAGGTCGTTTTAAAAAAGCCATTAGCGGTTTGATTTTTAATGCTCATTAAAAAACCTTTCGTCTTGACTCAACACATAATCTGAGTTCAGACTAATTGCAGAGATTAACGAAATCAGACACATCTTCAGATTTCTTCGGACTATCATAAATCAAACCACTTATGGCTTTCTTTTAAACGATCTGTTGGTCTCTAATCTTTACATTGAGACATAAATTAGAGCATTTATATTTATATTCAGATGCTGACATATCACTCCTATGAGATTGTTGGCCTTCATTTCTCAAGAGACGATCGTTTTCTGATCTCAGTCGGAGATTACAGGGAGTGTTCCGTGGTAATATGGGGTACTAAGGACTACAATGTACTCACATCGTCCTATACTAAAACTCCAATCCATGACATCGCATGGGATCCTTATACGATGAACGAGTTTGTGTCGGTCGGACAAGATGGTCACGTGCTGTTTTGGTTACTGGAAGAATCTCGTGGATCTTTCAACTTGAATGTGTACTGAGGTAACATAGGGTGGATAGTGTATGTCTTGGTGCGTATATTGATATATATTTTATCAATTGATGTTTCAATTTATAAAAGTTTGAATGATTATAATTTTGATATGCGTTTTCTACATTCCAGTTTTAAGATTTAGGATTTTAGTACTAAATTCCAAGATTCCAGATTTTGAAAATACTTTTATGATTTCAAATTTGATCTCCAGATTTAGGATTCCACATTTTTATTCAGTTTATGAAGGATGACCCTTCGTTTTTAGGTTTGCGAAGGAAAGTTCCCGATGATTTGTTATACACTTCAAAGCAGGTTTTCTTCGCTTTTATCTGAAACCTGCTTCGTTATAATTTCTCTGTCTTTGTGATATTTTGCTGTTTTTTCGTCGACAGAATGACTCCATGGTACATTTTACAAGTGTCCGCTATGCTGGTGATAATGTGCTATATATAGGCAATAATGCTGGTATGTTTGAAACAATAAAAGTTTGGTTTATTGCAAATTTCCAGTCCACTTCATCTTCTATGGACCCAATAAATTTGTTTTCAAGCGTTAAAGATCAATGGCTTATCCTTAGGTTTTGATGTTTTGTTCTTAAGGAGACTATAAAAGACTGTAGCTACCAAAGATTTTCCTCTTTTAGCTTGACTTAAATGTTAATACAAAGTCACAGGAGGTTTTGTTTCTTTTTTTTGATTTGTATTGTGGCAACTCGCACCAGTCCTTGTCAAAACTCACGCTTAATTCTACTCACATCATTAATATTTGAAGTAAACGATCATGTTTTAATGATTGAAAATATTTGTTGACTTTACGTGTCTCTTTCTCGTTCTATGTGTTTGAATTTTTTTCTTTTTCATTTTTGATTTTCTAGGAATTATATCCGCTTGGGATACAAGACAAAACAAGTGTTTTATGCACTGGCTTTCTGACGATTCTGAAATCGGTAAGAAAATGTATTTATATTATGTGTTTTCTTTGTCATATTATTCAAGGTTTCGACTCAGTTTGTCATGCTGATATAAATTTTATGAAATTCATTTTGAATTTATGTTCTACAGTCGTTATTTGCTTTCTTCGTAGATGTAATTGTTTGTCATCGTGGCTCGCTGATTACCGGAGGCTCATCGGGGCATCTTCGTCTTTGGTCTGTTGTAGGCGTTGGAGAGATGAGATTGCCCGGAGAGAATGATATGTATGTTTCTTTTCAGTTATTTTTTTTCATGATGATTATCACACAGACACTAAGGGGAAAGTTTTCAACTTAGGATTGCTGAAATAGTTCAATTGTGTTGTGATAACTTTGCGTTAGCGGGGTTAATGCAGTTTTTGATCTCACGAGAGCGCGTTCGATTTCATTTTTTCGAAAGCTGATCCCATATTTTATCAGATTGAATCAAAATGGTTTGGTTATCGAAGACGAAATGTCTTTGGACGCCGGAGTGATTTCTGCTTCATTTGACACATCCTTGGAAATGGTAAGACTTTGTCAGTGGGAAGTTTAAAGAATGGTGAATAAAAGGGAAGAAATTGAAGAATCTGTTTTAAAACTAGGTTTTCGATATTTTCTAAAATATGTTTTCCATGTGAATTGCTTGCCTCCAGGTGTGTGGTGTGTACTTTAGGGTATTGTTGGTACAGTTGGAGGTACGTTATGGTACATTAACTGGACAGAGGACGTCTATTCGTCTTGTCAGCAGTCATAGAAGGTAACTTACTGTGTTAATCTCCCAGTGAAAATATTGGATTTTAAACCATCTTCAACCACGTGATTGTTTTAGATAAATTCACTGGTGGCCAGCGGTCCTGATGACAAATTCTTTGCGACTTGCTCCGATGATGGTAGCTTGAGAGTCTGGACTTCTGATGACCTCGAACAAACGCTCAATTTCAAGTTGTCGATCAGGTGAATTGAAGCATGTTTCTCGTCGTCATTCAAAATTAAATATACTATTTATATAAAACTATTGTCAGGAAAACAGCTCTTAAATCGCTCTGTTTTACAAAATAAATTGTGATATTTTGTTGTTAATGTGAGTCTCGTATAGCAGTTTTAAGTCATGCTATCTGTTTATTCAACAAAAGTAGAATTATCGATGCATTATTCAAGTCATAGTTTCATGATATTAAAACCGTGTTAAGATTAATATATATGTATTCTCATGATGGCTATGGAAGGTCTTAAGCATAGTTGAAATTCATGGCTAGCTTCCACCAGTAATTAATAAGGTGAGAGTTAACACAACTTTCAAAACTGGGGCCGGTTGTACGAAGCCCGTATTGCGTAATCCATTGGATAGTAAATTTAAACCTGTAAAGATGATAAATTACTTACGATGAGAATTTTCGTAATCTTAGAAGAAATATTTTATTTCAGTGATTGCTCACTACAAATCTTATATTCTTCTCTTTCAAGAGATTTTTAAACAGTCGGAAAAATTTTTAAAATTTTACTTTGTGCAAATGACCCATAATAAAGCTTCATTGACAAGGTCATTACTGAGAAAGAGTGGACCTAGTTTTTTGTAGTTAAAGGTTCACGTCTATCGATTTTATCTATCACAGGACACACAACACTACTAGTTAGTGCTTTTGAGTTATATAGGTTGAATATATTATCATTGTTATTATTATTGTTATTGGTAAGTTAGAAACAATATTACGGCTTAAAGATGCAAACTAAAATGGACGTCTTGAAATGCAACTATCCATAAACGCTTAGCTAAATCATGATATTTTGCTGATCTCAAGGCTTTGAAATAATATAATTTACAGAGTTGTGTTCAACCAAACTATCATTTTGAGCGTCTCTTTGAACCTGCTCAGGCTCTTTATGTCACAGATAAAGAGATCTCTTTGAACCTCCTCAGTCTCTTCATATGTCACAGATAAAGAGATCTCTTTGACCTCCTCAGGCTCTTCTATGTCACAAATAAAGAGATCTCTTTGAACCTGCTCAGGTTCTTCATATGTCACAAATAAAGAGATCTCTTTGAACCTGCTCAGGTTCTTCATATGTCACAGATAGAAATCTCTTTGACCTCTCTCAGGTTCTTCATATGTCACAAATAAAGAGATCTCTTTGAACTGCTCTCAAGGTTCTTCATATATGCAGAATAAAGAGATCTCTTTGAACCTGCTCAGGATCTTCATACATCACGATAAAGAGATCTCTTTGAACCTACTCAGGATCTTCATATGTCACAGATAAAGAGATCTCTTTGAACCTGCTCAGGTTCTTCATATCACAAATAAAGATCTCTTTGAACCTGCTCAGGATCATATCACAGATAAAGAGATCTCTTTGAACCTGCTCAGGCTCTTCATATGTCACAAATAAAGAGATCTCTTTGAACCTGCTCAGGCTCTTCATATGTCACAGATAAAGAGATCTTTGCGCGCTTGTATATGTTATAAATAAAAGCTTTCACTTACACGGGACCAAAACGTAACTCATCTCTAAAAATTTCGTCGATGTTGACTATCAGTTGTTTAAAATTCTTTTCCTCCATAGCGCTGTAATTGTGTTTCATTCTGTCCAACTCCTCCACGTGAACCAACACATAATGTCTTACAAGATGGTGAAGTGATAGCCACAGTACATCCTCACATGGAACCAGTGGAGAAACCATTAAGACCATCACATTGCGTGGCTGGTTTTGATGATGGAACCGTAAGACTCTTTGATCTTGGAAGAGTTGAAATGATTATGAAAATACATCCTCATTCTGGGGCGTTACTGTTATCAATTTTTCTTCCTGTGGTAAGGACCAGTCGCTTTGATACACAGAATCTACCATATATATTATGTAATTCATGTGTATCTACCTATAATATGCAGTGGTATATGTTGTATCTATCTGTAGTATACAGTGATATATGTGGTATCTATCTATAGTATACAGTGATATATGTGGTATCTATCTGATAGTATACAGTGATATATGTTGTATCTATCTATAGTATACAGTGATATATGTGATATCTATCTATAGTATACAGTGATATATGTGGTATCTATATGTGGTATCCACCTGTATATGTGATATCTATCTATAGTATACAGTGATATAAGTGATAGTATACAGTGGTATATGTGGTATCCACCTATAATATACAGTGATATTTCTAGTATCTAACTGTATACTGTGATGTATGATATCTACCTGTAGAGCACAGTGTTATAAGTGGTTACAGTGGTATGTGTGGTATCTACCTTATAGTTGGTTCTTCATCTTCCCCTGTTGTCCTCTTAATAAGGATAACTTTGGAGCTTATGAATAACTTGGGATTTTTAAGTATAAAATGTTATGGCTGAGGATGACTTGGTGTGGTTAAGAATATTGGAATGTTTGAGGATAAGATGGGTTTGTGGATGTTGACTTGTGTTGTTTTTATAACTTGGGTTTTAAGTATGGCAGATTATTTGATTATTTGGTTATGAAAATCATCGAGTCCTATTGTAGTTCAACTCTAGTGGTCAAACTAAACATTGACAATTTTGACGTACCTTAGAAATGAATTTGTTGTATAGGTCATGTTTTTATGAGTGGTAGTACAGATGGTGTGGTAGCCATAAGTAGTCCCGCTACTGGCCTCACTGTCCGTTTGATTCAAGATCATAAGGGAGGACCAATCACTGATATGGACATTGCTTTACTTAAAGTACAATGAAAAACACTGCAAAAATAGTGAGTAGAAATAAAGATTTTCACTGTGTACGGGCTTATGCAAACGGAAGAGTCCTTTGGGAGAACTTGAGAGCAGATCAGTGCACCTGTTTGAGAGTTCTCATGAGCCTCTCAAAGGTTTGCATAAGCCTGTGCCAAAAAAACATCTTTATTTCTTATCTAAAATAGCAATAATGCGAAAGTTTCAGAGAATTGTTTTATTTTTCTTTTAACATGTATTCATGATTGATATGCAAATTCTCTTTGATTGATTAATTAATTGAGCTCAGATCAGTTCACAAAACTAATGCAAACTCAGCTATGGACCAATCAGTGCAAACGTTTATTTATGTTGTTTTATGAATAAAAGTCTTAACCTACTTCAAAATATTTTTAGCACGCAATATTTACCAAACTTAACTCTTTGGTTATTGATGATGATTATTATATGGCAAGTGTCACTTCCGGCTAAATGATGCGCTTTGATTGCTCAGAAACATTTTGCTGGTCCATTATTTTCCCGTAATCGACCACGGTCCAAAAGCGTAATTTTGTCAAATGTAAACAAACTTCTTAAGCAAACAGCAAAACGCGAAATAAACGAAACAAAAACCATTTACGAATGTAATTCGAAAGAAAACACTTGGAAAACTATCTAGACGATACAATTATGAAACAAGTTTATTTTTTATGGACGAAACCTAGAAAAGTGAAAATCAACTCGTAAAAACCGCAAGGACGAGAAGGCAATCTTCGTTTCAGGTCAAATAATGCCATCTAATAATCTATTTAAGAACCTCGCTTTCTCGGTCTTTACTGAGAAATATCAGACCTCTGTCTTTTTTGTACAACCTCGCCCTACGGGATCGGTCTGTACAAAAAAACTTCGGTCCATTATTTCTCTGTAAAGACGTCGCGCTCGGTCATTAAGGGCTTTTTAATAATCAAAACCTTGTTTTTAGAACGATCGTCCATCATTCAATTCGCCCAGATCGTGGCTTATTGCGAGCGCTGATCGTAGGGTTAGCGTATGGAAGGCAGATTGGTCGAAGGATTTCTGCGAGCTTGTTGATTGGTTACCTTTCCCCGCTCCAAATATAACACCTGAAGGAATTGCTTTGAAAAAAGACGATGCGGTGAGAAATTGTAGTTTGTTTCCTGTCTTGATTGTAGTTGCTCAAGATAATGAAAGATAAATAAATTATTATGGAAAACTGTTTTAATAAGTTTGAAATAAGCATGTTTTCTCCCTTTGAAGTCTGCGTATTTGCATCTACCGCCAAGTTTGGCAAGATTCTCGCCAACAGAGCCCGATGTTATTGTGTACAGTGGTTATGGTCTGAGAAAACTGATACAATTCTACAGCTTGTCCCAGAGAAAGGTCAGTATTTGTAAGAGGTCTGTGCTTGGAGCAGACAAAATGTCCATCATTGATGGAAATGTGTTCATTGTCAGGTTTTTCGAACTATTTTGTTGACACAATGGGCTTCTTGGAAATATCGCCTAAGGGTCATTTAATTGCTGTTGGAACCAAAGGTATAAATTAAGAAGTTTTTTACAACGTTCTGCAAAACAACACTGAATGATTTGAAAATCCTTTCTATATCTTGAAAGATAATAGTTTGAAATCGTTAAAGTTTTTATCTACTCCAACTATGTCAATTTTTCTCATCTAGTTTTCTTCCATTAGTAAAACTGGATTATCGATGGTTTTCTGAGAAGAAAATTAAGATCACAATTTAGGGTTACGTATCCCACATAGTTTAAGTCTAAAAAAACGTCCCAAATCGACGTAGCTACGTCGGAAATATGAATCAAAAAAGCACTAGGTGAAATTCTCATTAAAAAGTTTTTTATTTCTTTTCAGCGCTTCTTTTATTTCCTCGAGAATTAATGACACCGAATGCTTTAGTTTACAATCACTTAATTATTTTTGCTGTCTGTAATTTTCTTTTTGTTTTAGATCGACTAGTGAATTGATTATGATAAAGGTAGCTTTCAAGATTTCGATATGCATTGTGACTCTATTAGCCATGTGACATTTTCTCCGACCGGAGATAAACTGTTTTCCGTTGGTTTTTCGGATGTTGCTTTGTGGAAGGTGTTGATATAGAGAGACGTCCTTATTACACAATCTTGGCAAAACAATATAAAGTCGAAGGCTGGTGCGCTATAGTCTATGACCCGTCAATTTAAAAACTCGACATTTTATCGGCTTATTGAGAGCAATAGAGATATGCGTAAAATATAAAATGTATAATACATTCTTATTTATGAAAGGAAAGTAAAACCAGCAAAATTTTGTTTTGTTTGTTAAAGAGCAAAGATTCTTGTTGCAAGAAAGAAGCATGGAATTCATGGCAGAGAAAGCAATATAATGATGATTTTTGCCAATATAAAAAGCTTCCATACAAACAATGTTTTTAAATGAAAGAGAACTATTTCAGTGCAGCCCTTGAAAAACTTTAATTGCTGGCGAGAGGGGTGGGAGGCTAGTGCTAATCTGACTTAGCCCAAGTTGATAACAAGATTTATGATCGAGAACATGGACGCAGAATTGTGATAAATGAATTTGGTCCCACTTGGCATATAATGGTAACCCATCATTACGCAATACGCGAATATAAAACGACGACATTTTTCCATGCTTTTTTAACACGTCTTCATTAAGGCTCCGTTTACAATATACCGGATTGCTATCGCAGCAGGTTGAATATTCTTTATTTAAAGGCAGTAAAATTGTTCAGCGTCAGAAACACGATCAAATAGACTAAATCTATCCGCTTAATAAGCTTTTACTCCGAACAGTTACCCTTTTAAAGCAAATGAAGACGTCGTGATGAGCAAATCCGGTATAGTGTAAACGCAGGCAAAACGTTATTTTTAAGGTAATAAATTTAAATACTCCGGTATACGAACAATGAATTCATATTAACCTCGTCTACGCTGTTTTAACCTCAGAAGAACTTTTATAACGGTTCTCCTGAACGCCATACTTTCTGTAAATATCAACCCTTTTACAAAATTTCCTAGAGGCAGAAAACTGGAGCAGCCGGAGAAAAATGCAAGCAAAGCTCACAAACTCATTTGACATTCGCAAGCTAATTTTATTTTGACCAGGGAACGAACTCGCAAAACAGCTGTAGAATGCATTGAGTTTGACCTTAGTGCCACTGTAGGTGCTCACTCCGATGAAGATTGAGATAGATTCAGTTTAATGTTTTGTCAATCTTTACTGCTGACAAGGTCATTGAATTGTTTAATTAGGCGTAGAAAGTGAATGGGGTGAGGTGTGTAATTCAGATAATATATTAATTGATAAGAATGAATGCACGCAACGCACAGAACATGAATGGACCAGAAATTGACTAGAAGCACAAATATCAATGCAGTTAGATATAGTTATAAGACCGTCAACGAGCAGATATAAGCTAAGATCAAGACTTAACTACGGATTTTACAAGAATTATCAAAGTTTGCCAATATCAAATTTTTTATACCCTTAAGTGCTAATGACATCGGCCTATACGGAACGTCCATTGTCCCCAATAATCCGTTTCTACAGCAATGGACTTGGGTTTACATTAATGAAGTTTCACTTAACTTCGTTTTTGACCGTGATATAGAGTGGTTTTTGTATAAAATATAATAAACTAAAATCTTACTGCATATTTCAACGATATATAAGGGAATACTAAAATTTATATCAGGAAGTATATGGGTATTTTCCATAATCACACTGGTAATTGAATTTTAAATATTAATGCTGACTTCTGGGATACATGTTAGTGGAAAGAATAGATTCAGACGTCAGACCTTTTCTACCTCGTGGTCGTTAAATTCATTTAGTTTCATGTCGTCTTCATTGAAACGTGCTCTGACAATATTTATTCTGGTAAGTGTGAATTTTAGCTGTTTTCATCGTGTTAAAGGAAAGTATAGCAAAGCTAAAACAATCAATACAACACAACAGCCTATTTTATTTTCGAGATAACTTAAAAATGACGCTTGTTCGTTGACAAATTTCTAGAGAATATTTTACCAATTGGATTTTAAACTATTCACCATTTCAAATGCTTTTATTTTAATGTGGAATGGGTGACTTGCGTAACGTTGAACGGGGGAATATTTTGCACTAAAAGTTTCCGCTTATTGACTTGTTTTATCTCCAAAACTCTGGAAAATTAGCTTCAGTTAAATAGTTGAGGGTAAAACGTCGAGCGCCAGGTATCTAAGAACGTGGCTTGACGATTTTCCGATTAAAGTAAACCATATCGCTGTCTATTCATGAATAAGAAAACAAAACGGAAAATTTGTCTTTTCACCATTCAATTCTCTATTTTAGATATTTGCTTATTTTAAAACAAAAATGGCGGACACCAGGAAATTTTACTTCCTGTGTCCAAACTCTTTCGCAAAATCATTCTTCCGAGAGGAGAATAGCAGCGATTTCGAAATAAAATCGATTTTTTTAGGTTTTGAAAAAGAGTTGCGCGATGTCTTCCAATTCATCTGATGATGAATCTGAACGTTCGTCATCTCCCAGCTTTCCTGAATATGAGATATGTATGAGCGAGGTATAAAAAATAAAATATTTAAAGTGTTGATCTTCTGGTGAGTTTTCACATTAAGGTTAAAACATCTCTTTTTTCATTTAGAAATTAGACGGTATTCCACCATCGCATGTTGTCAACATTGAAACAAATATGGCGATACGTTGTTTGTGTTATTTACCATCAATGAAAAGTTTCTTGTACAGCTACAAGAGCGATACACTAGGACTTATAAGTGAAGATTTTAAATCTGATGTCAAGAAATTCATTGATATAAAATTTGAAAACAGCTCGAAAAAATATGTGTTAGTCTTAACCCTGATACAAAATGGGCCGTCTCTTGGGACGGTTCTTTAATAGCTGCAAGTGCAGCGTTCTGTTGTCGTCCGTCACACAATATTATCAATTTTGCTTTGATTGTTTTGCCTTACCTGAGCATCAGGTCGGAAAGTTACCTAAACCGGTATATTGCATAAACTGTCTTCATGCTCGCACTTCTCAACTTAAGTTCTTCCCAGATGGAAAGAGAATTGCCGTAACTATTTGTTTGGATCCTGATTTTTCCCATGACTTGGATCGTTTTTGGTGTCGTGTGTATAAACTACCAGACGGTTTGTGGAACGTAGAAGAATCTATAAAAGACGGACCCGACCAATGGATTGATCTTAAAGTTGAATTTAGGGGAGTTGATTGCATTCAGTTAGGTTGTCCTTTTCTTAAAACGGATCTTGAGGCAAATGAGCGTGACGAGCAAGTGTTAAAAGAAAGACGTGAAAGTGGGAATGAAAGTGATGTTGAAGATTATTTAAATTTGCGGGCGGAGTATCGTGCTGATGGCTTTAGTTGTTTGGCTCTATCTCCTGATGCCAGCCGTCTTTTGGCAGGAAGCACTGATGGCGAACTGTTCAATTTTGATGCTGACAGTTTAAAACTACTACAACGCGTTCGTGTTTACGATTATTATACAGCAGTTGAAAAATGCTGCTATCCTGCATTTGGTCATGAGGAACTTGCAATATGTGATCGTTACGGGCTGTTTTGTGTGTGGCGCGTTTTAAATCTTTCTGACAATTCTGAAAATTTCCAACTAGCCCATCGAACAGGTTGGCTGTTCACCCAAAACATCACAATTACTTTTTGCATAGATATCTGTTACTCCTGACGGAAAACTTATTGCTGTTACCATAGCTTGTCCGTTTGATTACATTGTTAAGACGTTTATTATTGGCTCGCGTTCTGGTGAAATTTGTTATACGTTGGATTGCGTTGATGATCCTGATCGACAGTGTCCGAAATCTGATTGTCTGACCTCGTTTTGGTAATTTGTGTCAAGTTGCTTCAGTCACAAGTGTTCATTCTCGCGTTTTTTCTGGAAGTTACCTGTTGTCTACGATTTACAGACATTGTGTTTACTCACAATCAAAGCACTTATCTCTTATAATAATGTTGAAAACTCAACATACCTTTTGTTTAAAAAAGAGAAGTATATTTATTCTTACTGTACTTGAGAATGTCATTTAATAACTATCGTCCGTTGGGCGTTCTATCACAACAGTGTTAAAACCTGGACTTCTATTTTATAACTTGTAAACATGTGCATTTGAATCTATGTTGGCTAATTCATAACACGTGAGTGTATTCGAAAACTGGACTTCTTTTGTTTAAATTATGCAAATTTGGATAGATAAATGAAATATTTATTCAAACACGTTTAGCTATCTCATCAAATTACGTTCCACCAGGATATGAAGTAGAAATTTTCAAAATGATATAAAGTACATAAAAGTAATTTATAAAACACTTAAATACGTAAACACTTAATAACTAATATTTTAAGCACTTAATACCGAATGCGAGGTCTTTAATGAGAAATATCGGACCGAGGTCTTTTTGTATCAGGTCTGATATTTCTCAGTAAAGTCCGAGAAAGTGAGGTTATTAAAAGATTTATTATAAATGGCATTA